CATATATATATTTTTTCTCTTCGTCCGTATGTGTAGGAAAAATAATAAGCAGAATAATTGTATATATATAACATTTTTGCATCGTTTTTTTAGAAAAAGTAAAATTTGAGGAAGTGAAAAGAATCGCCTATATACATATATATAATCATATATAAATATATGATAATATATATGAGCACTATTTTCGCACTTTTACTAATTTTGCTGTTTCTAAAAAAAAAAAGATGTAAAAATTGTTCTTATAATTATTTTTCAATTATTCTTTTTTTTCTGTACATATACAAGAGAAAGAAAACATATATGAATATTTTATATGCAATTATACGTATATATATATATATATATTTATATTCAATTATATATGGACTTTTTTTTCCAGAACAGAGTTTTCACGTGTCTTAGGTAAAATTAAAGCATAAGCCTTCTTTTTTTAAGATTCAAAACTATTGAGTATAGAAAATATATATACAACTTTTTCATACACATACAAAAGATGTAACAAATTAATATATATTTTGTAGTTATAGAGAGAGCTTTAATAATCATTTTGAGTAGAATTAAAAATTAATTGTCTTAGAGAAGACTCTTCTTGTGATTCAAAAGATTTTAAAATCCATATATCACACACGCGCACTATTACTCTTATATAGGAAATAGATTTAAAAAAATACTTGTCGAAATTTAATGTTTATTTTTTATGTAATTGTCTCAAAGTGATAAAAATAAATTTTATTTTTAGAATACATTTATTTATTTCACCACTTTAAGTAATTACCATAATTTCAAGAAATATATATTGTTAATTTATTTCCCAATATTTCGAGGCGTGCTTCTCAAAATGTACAAAAATAAACATTTTATTTCAATGTGTGTATTGTATGTATATTTATGTTGAACGTAAGAATATATTACGAAAAAATGTTTAAGCACTAGATTATGGTTAAAAATATATTCCATAGAGAACACTAACGGTGAAACGATTTAATTAGCGATCGCTGCTAGTATAAATATACAACAGATTATTTTCAATAAATAGCCCAGTCAACGAAGGCCCGTTTTAAGCAAATAAAAAAAATAATTCCAAAAGTTTTGAAAATTTATAGAGATGTTCATTTAGGCTTACTAATGAACATCTAAAAAGTCCTGAAAGATTGAAGATGAGCTATCGCCGCCATCTTGAAAGATAGATGAACTTTTTCGGTTTTTTGCATATATGTCGTAAAATATTAACTTAATTGAAAAAGTAATTATTATCAAAATGAGAGTTTATTAAATCGTCTACAAAAAAGGTATGATTCAATTTTTTTAGCTATAATAGTTTTCGAGAAAATAGGCTGCGAATGTCGCGTGAGTCGATCAGTGAACTGTATACAAGTATACACGTCCTATATGTATACCATAGTGATGGAATCCAATTCAGGACTCCAGAATGTTCATCCTTAAGATCCTCATCGTTATATTATCTGTACAGAACAAAAATGTTCATTGTAAATATATGAACTAGAAGAGGAATATTTAATTTTTATACATTTTTTATACTTACTTTTTGTTATTGACGCAATCTAAAAAAACGTATCTAAAAAAAATTGAATCATACCTTTTTTGTAGATGATTTAATAAACTCTCATGTTAATAATAACTACTTTTTCAATTAAGTTAATATTTTACGAGATATATGTAAAAAACCGAAAAAGTTCATCTATTTTTCAAGATGGCGGCGATAGCTCATCTTCAATTTTTCAGGACTTTTTAGACGTTCATTAGTAAGCCTAAATGAACATCTCTATAAATTTTCAAAACTTTTGGAATTATTTTTTTTATTTTTCCTTCGTTGACTGGGCTAAAAATATGAGTTTTTACTACATCACAACTCTGTATGCTTGTTCAAACATATTTTATCGATTTTAACAAATGTCTGTGTTATTATGAAATCTATACTTACAATATATGATATATGTGCAAGTACTTATGTATGTTGTGCTATAATTTTCGATCTAAACAAATGAGGCATAAGTGTATCGCGATTATATCGCAACCCGTACAATAATCGTGAAGGAAAGTTGCACCGGACGTGCACGCAAAGTTTAGACGCGAAGATTCACAAAGAGCATCGCCCAGTGCAGAGAATTTCGAAGATTTACACGTTCGATCGGATTTTTTTATAGCAAATGAGGATATTTCCTGTACTAGCCGTGCTAGTAAGAGACTGCGTCAATAACAAAAAGTGAGTATAAAAAATGTATAAAAATTAAATATTCCTCTTCTAGTTCATATATTTACAATGAACATTTTTGTTCTGTACAGATAATATAACGATGAGGATCTTAAGGATGAACATTCTGGAGTCCTGAATTGGATTCCATCACTATAGTATACATATAGGACGTGTATACTTGTATACAGTTCACTGATCGACTCACGCGACATTCGCAGCCTATTTTCTCGAAAACTATTATAGCTAAAAAAATTGAATCATACCTTTTTTGTAGACGATTTAATAAACTCTCATGTTAATAATAACTACTTTTTCAATTAAGTTAATATTTTACGAGATATATGCAAAAAACCGAAAAAGTTCATCTATTTTTCAAGATGGCGGCGATAGCTCATCTTCAATTTTTCAGGACTTTTTAGACGTTCATTAGTAAGCCTAAATGAACATCTCTATAAATTTTCAAAACTTTCGGAATTATTTTTTTTATTTTTCCTTCGTTGACTGGGCTAAAAATATGAGTTTTTACTACATCACAACTCTGTATGCTTGTTCAAACATATTTTATCGATTTTAACAAATGTCTGTGTTATTATGAAATCTATACTTACAATATATGATATATGTGCAAGTACTTATGTATGTTGTGCTATAATTTTCGATCTAAACAAATGAGGCATAAGTGTATCGCGATTATATAGGATGTCTGATAATAATCGCCCCACTCGTAATGTGCAAGTAGAGCGGGTTAAACCGAACAGGAAAGTCCTTTACCATTTTGCGATTTTCGTAATAATTGGCCGATTTTTTAAATTTAATTTCTCATTAATTATTGCGGAGATCGCAAAACGGTAGAGGACTTTCCTACTCGGTTTAAACCGCTTTATCTGCAAATTACGGGTGAGGCGATTATTATCAGACATCCTGTATATTATATATCACAAACATATCATTTTCACCTTGACTATATATAGATATAATTATATATTCTTAGATTAATATATATGAAATTAATATGTTTATTAGCGCGCTGTTGCTGCATATGACGAGGGTGATAAAGCTGTAAAACCAAATAAAACATATGATAAGTAGTCAGAAAAATTGCTCAACGAATTAATAATTTTTTTTTCAAGAAAACTGAGAACTTGCTTAGCCCATATAGAACGATGTTATGTATGCATGTAAACTAAAAGGGAACATTTTTAGAAGTATTATACATTTATTTTGGTGAAATCTTAATGCGAACTTATAATATTGTATATATATATAGTATAAGTAACGAGTATCTATAGTAAATACGCATACTCATATACACACATACATATATATGTTATAACAGCTACAAAGATGGAATAAAAATAAAAACACATAACAAATATATGCGAACCTGAATAAAGACTCACGTAATATTGGTATATTGACGTAAGTTTGCTTTTGCACTGGTATTATTAATGATATCTTATAATAGAATACATCCTTGCATATACAGTGTATATACTATCTTATAACTAAACAATTATGACATAATAGAAACTTACATAATAAGAATTATCGCGATTTAATGTATCGTAATGATAATATATACACATCATATATAAAATATAACGTCGTTGTCGAAATTATGATACTACAACATAGTTGAGATAGACATTATTTTTTGTGTTTGGTTTCCAAGTTTTATCAAATAAAGCCCGTTTCGCCAAGCACACAGAACACACGTTTGAACACTATATTCTTTGGAACTTATATCCTAGAAAATTGAAAATTGAATAGACGGCATTGTCGCAAACATTACTTTGATATTTTATTTATCGACAATGTATATTTACTTATTCATCTTTTTTTTTTCTTTTTTTTTACACAAAGTTACAACTGGTATTGTGGTAAAGTGGCCTAATTGTTCATATGCAAATGATTGTGTAATCAGCAATGAATATTGTTCAAAATCTTATAATATACATTTTCGATTATTATATAGATGTTTACATATTGATAATGCGCATTTAATGATATTATATTACCGTTTATCTATAATTGAATAACTTGTACAACATAAATTCCCTATATATTATACTTTATTTATTATAATATCTATTATATTATCTATTATCGTTCATGTAGCTATAATTGTGATTTTAATATATATATAACAGCATAACGCGCACTTGAATCAATAGTGTTCACAACAAACGTTAAATAAAGCTTGTAATGTAAATCATAGATTATTGTTGAAATTAAAAGAAAAGGGAATGAAAAATAAAAAATCAAAAAAACAAAATAAATCTATAGATTTTGTGAATGATTACTTTTGAAAATATTGGAAGATTTTAATGAATTATACTTCAAAATCAAAAACACACTATAGTAATATCCACAATAACTTCTCTTCTTCTTTTGGATAATTTTGAATGTTTGTATTCGACGTTATTGTCATGATAATGCATCTACATTTCGCTTCTATATGTAGTGTTAATACACGACAGTGCAAGCTTAAACAATGTTTTTATTACGAGAGATGTAAAGTTTTATCATGCAATTTAACGAATTTTTATGGTGATACCAATACAAAGAAATAGCGTATCGATTAGATTTCAAACATTTTCCGATTTTCCTTGTCGACTCAGTTCGATAGCTAGAGCTAATTCGGCGTCTTCCTTTTCTTTAAGTCTAAGCCTTTCTTCTTCCGTTTTTATACTTTGTTTCTCCGCCCAAGCTAATTGCTCCTCTTCCGACAAGTTAGTTACGTTATTACCGTTCCACATCTTGCCAAAATTATTCGCGAGCTTCTCGTCGTTATAAATATTATACTTCGAAGTCTGGGCTATGTCTAATTCGTGCCTCGTGATAGTTTTCGCATTTTTAACCGAAAATGCGTCATCGAGATCGATTGTTCTCGTCTTGACTTTGGTAAATGAGTCATTTTCGATGCCTCTAATGTTTCTGTTATCGGCAGAGAATGCTTTTCCGAAGTCGACATCAAATTTATTCATACTGCTCTTCTCGACTTTTGTTTTAACGTGCGGAAAAGTGCTCGTGAAATCATTATCAAAGGCTTTAACCGATGCATTTTTATCCAAAAAAGCAGATGATGTCCCGAAGTCGAAAAGATCCATTTTGTCTATCCCGCTGCTCTTATTCGCATTCAAGTCCTCTGTCTCATCGGCAAACGGGTCCGTTATATTGAAGGGGTCCTCATAACGATAGTCCCGGAAAGGATCCTCCGTGAAATCTGAGAGCTTCAGTTGCCCCGATACTACGTGCGTTTTATTTGTCGGTCTCGATGGTGCAGTCCGATTAGGCGCTGGTTCTGGCTGAAGCAGGTTTTTGTCACTGGTCAGTTTTGTTTTACTGAAAAGGTAGAAGAAAATAACGCGGATACCGTCGACCATCCTTTGGCTGCTGGCTGGATTAGATTATTCTTGCATAAAGATGCAGTGCTGTAATTTTACGTGATGTTCGAATCGCGTATTAGAAAATGATTCTGACAAGGCAAGAAATCTCTCAAATCGTTATCCATTCACGCGATTCGAATATCTTCTACATAAGTTAAGAACAATAATAAAAATTATATTCTTTTGTAAGACAATAACGTAAATAAACTTGGAATGTCCTATATAAATAGAGAGAGAAAGAGAAAAGTAATAAAAAAATTAATTAATCTGGAGCCAATGTGTGTGCTTCAGAAGACAGCTCAATGGTAGGTAAACTCAAAATTGTGCAGCTGCTACCTAAATATAAAATAAAATTAAATATAATTAGTACATTGATAAATGTTGTAAAAAAAACTCAACAGCAATATTAAAAAATTGAGATTTTCTAGACATTTAATATTGATACAGTTATATGTATACTAAAGATGCAACGAATAATATATTCGACCGAATACCGAATATTAGGCAAGATCATGTGCCGAATAACCGAATATTCGGCGAATATTAGAGACGGTTTTAGCGCCAACGGTTCAACATAGACTATTCGAAAATAATGCAGCGGGCTCGCGGCACTCCCGACTGCGCCTTCCCGCATAAATATATTATGTAACAATAAATGTGTTTTATTTAATTTCATTTTATTAGATATATAAAGATAAATAAATAAATAAATTAGATACTCGAGCATGTTAAAACTACGCATCCGCGGCTGAGATGGCAACAGTCTATTAGCTACTATTTCCATTTTTACATTTAAAACTATTCGGTATTTGGCCGAATAGTAGACTAATATTCGGTGTTCGGCCGGATAGTAAAAACGTTGCCGAATAGGCAGAATATCGAATAGTTGCCTAATATTCATTGCAGCTCTAATGTATATATATAACTGTATTTTGTGATACTAAGTTGTTTGAACGAATATCGCTAGTTACGATTTTTGTTATTCAATTTATATAGTATATGATTGTTATTCAAGTCTATTATGATAAGAAGCCGATTTTTACTAATAATTAAAAAACAAGAAACTTAAAACAATAATTGCCACGTTTTACTTCAAATTAAAGTTATAATACATCCAGTTCCATAACTATTTAATTGCAGAAATGTTATTTTTATTTGTTTTTTTTTTTTGTTACATTCATTTCTAATGTTATTGTTATATTTATGTTACTTCACAAAGAATTTATAAGTTGTAACATAAGAAATGGAAACAAACTGTTCTCTCTTTCTTCTCCTTCTCCATATGATATATTCCTAAAATTTATTATATGTAAATAATAAAAATATAATTATTAATAGAATTGTTTTTATAACTAAAAAAATTATTGTATTTAATATAAATTATATTTTCATATATCTTTTATATAGTTCATGACTTAATTAAAGACTTGACTAAAGAAATTAATGATCTTTTTACATATCTTTTAAGATAAAAATTTTTTTTTTATCTAGAAATTAACATTTTCTATCTGGATATTAACATGCATGAAAATTATTAATATTTCAGTTTGTTTAAATCGTAAAAGCAAAATAAAAATGACAAATTACATAACATATAATTGAATAAAAATATAATACAATTAAAAATATAAAAATATTTTGTCTAAAAATTTTTATATTTTTAATTTAATATATACAGGGTCACAGTATATACAGCATATACAGGGTGGTCCGTAATTCGTGGTACAACCGGCAAGAGATCGATTCTTCATGAAAGAATAAGTCGAAATTGCAGAATGAAATTTTTAAATTTTATTTTTTAAAGGGCATTTTCAAAAGGAAATATCGTGTCTCATTTTAATTTACATATTCCATGTTAAAGTGCGCACTGGACACTGTGAACAGAAAAGTAATTGTGGTCTGTATCGAGATCTCCTCAACGGCGTCTTAGTCAAGTGCATGCGTATTCAACTAATATTTAAAGTCGATTTTATCAAAAACAAAGCCCATATGAAAAAATTTCCATCTGCGATTTCGATTTATTTTTGGTAAATATGCCAATGATGGATGAATTAAATGATGAAGGGAGGCAGTCTCGATGACCTTGACCTTGACATATGTTGTCAAGATCATGACCCTGAATAACGTTTAAAAGGTTTTAGCCGTCGCTCGTTTTTTATTAAAAAGTTATTAACAAAATAAGTTTAATGATTTGAACGTAATTGTGTCAGGTTTGGGTTAGGTTATATCTTCCGGAAGTGGAGCCCCCCGCAGGGAGGGCGGAACCCACTGTGTCCAGGCATATACTTTACAACGCGAAGCGAGATCCACACGATTGTTGTGTGGATGGGAAAATGTATACGTGGACGCAGTGGGATCTAACCTTAACCCTTCTAAAACGTACATGTTGTCGTAAAATTATGTTCTATTCATTAAAGTTTCTTCATTAATAACTTTTTAATAAACTACGAGCGACGACTATGACCTTTTGAATGTTATTCAGGGTCATGACCTTCACAACATATGTCAAGGTCATGGTCATCGAGATTGCCTCCCTTCATCGGCATATTTACCTTATTTTTTCATGAAGAATCAGTCTGTTGCCGATTGTACCACGAATTATGGATCAGTCTATATGTATATACTTTTTTTTTTAATTTTATATATACATAATATGTACATAAAATGCTTATTATAATGTATGTAGATTTGTCTACGCGTTTTTCTTGCTTAGATAATTTTAATATAAATAAAATATTTTTATTTCTCTTTTATGTTTTGGAAACCCAACAATGTTAAATAAAATAAGTAAAAATAAAAGAAAAGAAAAAAAAAATAAGAGAAAAGAAAAATAAAAAGAGAGCAAAAAAGATTAAAAATTAGTAGTTTTATTATTATTTTGTTGTTCAATTAATGTATATTATATATTCCAAAATTGAAATGTTTTATGAAAATTAATTAATGGAATTCATACGAAAATTTTGTTAAAATGTTGTACGATAACTTTTTATACTCATTGTATATGCATTCATACAAATATATGTATAAGCTTTATTTTTAAATTTATAGATAAGGAATTTGTTTGTCATTTATGTTTATCATATATTAAATATTAATTAATTCGGGCCGCTAAGTACATAGCGATATTTTTTTATAAAAAATAAATTTAAAAGTTCTAAATTATTTTTTTCTATGATGTTTAACAAAAAGAGAATTACTAAAAAAAATCTGAAAAAGACTCAATCACAAACATACGCGCGTTCACATACACACGCACACAGAACGTCATTATTTAGTTATTAAGTACATGTTATTCGAAAATTCTTTGTTTGTTAAGCATCGCAGAAAAAATGGTTTAGAATTTTTCGACTAATTTTTCATTAAGGAATATCGTTATGTATGTGATAATTGTGAAGTAATTAATTCATTTCTCTAATTCACATCTTGTATCCAATCTTGTATCCAATTAATTAATTCACATCTTGTATATATAAAACCTGTATATTAATACTAAACAATATATTAAAAATAATAAAACTCCGATATGTGTGCTTAGAAATATACTAAATATAATAGAAATGCTTACAAAAAAAAAAAAAAGAGCTGTATATTGAAACAATTATTAAAAGACAATATATTATTTTGAAAAAAATAATTAAAAAGATTACAACATACAGATATTATAAAAAACCTGTTTGAAAACAGGACACTGCTAGATACATACCTTAGAATCAAAATTGGTGAAATCAGCAAATCCAGTCGAAGATGTGAAACTATTATTGTTATCGATCGTCGTTTGCTGAACACTAAATGGATCCGAATTTGCATTCGCGAATGGATCCGGTGTGGGCGAAGGCGTTGGCGGAGCCGGTGCTGCTCTTAATGGACCAGTAGGACCTTGACTCGGTCGTGGTGGAGCTGGTCTCGGAGGTGGTTGCTTCGCCTTTTTTGGTGGAAGAGCAGGACTAGGGCTTTCAGGACGCGGTGGAGCGTGAAGATTTGCAAAAGGATCATCACCGAATGGATCCTTCGTGTTCTTAATAGAAAATTATATTAGCATCTTATTTTTTCTCTCGATAAAATAAAAAATATATGTGTAAAATATGTTCATAGAAATAGTATAAAAATTTTATATACCGATGTCATAATTGTAGATGTTTTGTTTTCGGCTTGCTTTCCATTATCAAACGGATCAAAAGGATCTTGTTTTGTTGCTGTACCGGTATTGTCAAACGCAGTAAAAGGATCTGTTGTAAAATTACCCTATACAGATTTTTTTATTAGTAACCACGCTTACAAGATGAAAATCGGAAGGGGAAAATAAATATTATGAATATATAAATATCAATTAAAGGAAAGACTCACATTAGATGGCTGTGAATATATAAATATCAATTAAAGAAAAACTCACATTAGATGGCTGTGTAGAGAACGCATTTCCAAATGGATCAGACACTGGTGTACTAAATGCTTCTTTGGCTTTATTCGTTGCAAAAAGATCTTGTTCTCCAAATCCATCTAAAGTAGCAGTTCCGGTTACATCAGAAAAAGTATCCGCTTTTGCTTCCTTTGTTTGTTCTGTATTTTTTGTTGTTTCGTATCTAATATTTGTTTTAGACATATATAAAAATGTTATTAAAATTCTCATAGAAGCTTAATATTCTCAAGTAAATTAATATTTAAATGAAATGCAAATACGCACTCTATATCTTCGATCTCGGGTATAAATCGTAGACTAGTATCAGGTACAAGATCAGCATTTCCCGCGGCAAGTGCAGAATCGTAAAGCGCAATGACATCGCTCATTTGACGTTGCTGTTCTTGCAGATGTGTGATCTTTGCTTTTGCTTGACAGATTTCTAATTGAGTATCTTGTAATTTTTTCGTGAGCTCGTTAAGTTGGTCCCTGTTTTTATTTTGTTGTTGTTCCAATTGCTGTTCTTCTTGTCGCAGTCCTTCGAGTTCTTGTCTTTTAAGATTCAGTTCCTCCTCTTGAATTCTTAAAACTGACTCCTGTTCTTCAGCTTGTTGACGAAGTTTATCGACCTTATGAACATAAGATTTAATTCATGAAAAATTTTAATCGTTTTTCTTGTGTAAATTTGAAGTATGTATAATATATTTTAAAACTTGTAAGAATAATAATAATAACTTATTTTTAATTAATATGCTTTTGTATCTGTATTGTATTTATACAATCAAAATAAAAAAAAATAAAAAAA